AATCATCCATCTAGGTCATTATTTATGTGGGAAAATCTCCCCAAAGGAAAAAATCCAGAAAAAGTGTTTGCAGTCCAGACTGAAGGTGAACCATCAATCTACTTTCATGATGCGTTAAACTCTTCCACAAGTCGGTCAGAAAATGACCCACAATTCAATGGGGGAAAGAAAGAACAAAATATACAAATGAACAATTCTCAGAAAAAGAAATATGACATCTCTAAATCACATAAATAAATGTTCAATCGTGTCCATAAGAAAATAAACAAAGAGAGAAACAGAAACAAATAAGTAGGTTTGCAATGGACTGCAGGCAGTGGCGAGATACACAACTGGTCAAAAACTCTCAGTAATGGAGCACTTGTCCAAGGTTGTGAGGACCTGGGTTCAGTGGCCACCACCACAAAAGCAAAGTGAAATCAGAACAAAACTAGCACACACGTTGCCATTTGTACACGTATAACATGCAGTTCCAAAAGTGATCATAAATTTCATCCATTGACGGAGGACTGTAACTTGGGAAAACTTTGATAGAGGAAAATTTGGCACTGGCAATCAAAGTTAAAGGTGTGTAGTTTTTGACTTAATAATTCCATCTCTAATCATTTATCCCTTATCTATCTCAAATATGTAGAAAGTGATAGACATTCGAAGCTATTCGTGGCTCTATTTTTTTTTTTTGTTTCAAAGCAAGAAAACAGTTGTCTGTTATCATGTTCTGTTTTCTAGTTTCCTTTCTGTTGCTGTGAAAAAGCACTTTAATTAACAGCAAGGTGTAGGAGGAAAAGCTCTATTGGGCTCACACTTCCAGGCCACAGCCCATCACGGAGGGAAGTCAAGGCAGGAACCTGAAGGCAGGTCAGCTTGCTATTTCAAACAGCATTGCCTCTAATCAGGGATCTCTTTTTGTTGCCAACTAAATACAACTAGAAAGATGGAGGATCCTGCTAGCTGGCTGGTTTCTAGGCTCATGCTTATCTTGCTGTTTTATGCAGCTCAGGGAATGACGCCACCCACAGTGGGCTGGGTCCCTCTACGGCAATAATAATCAAGACAATCCCCCACAGACACATCCACGGGTCAACCTGATCTGAGGAATCCTCCAGCTGTGACTCCCATCTCAGGTAACTCTCAGCTGTGCTGGGTTGACAGTTACAGCTAATGGTGATACCCCCACTTAGTGGAGAGTTTCGAAATGAAATAATTATATTAATGTATTGAAACATCTTTGAGATGTATGTTTACCTGGAAAAACAGCAGTGTATTATGTCCTAAGATTTGTGTTAATGGTGAGCTGGTAATAGGATGAAGATGAGCAGATTTTTAAAAATTGTATGTTCAAAACAGAAACAGTTTTTTGCTTCCTTGGTGGTAACCTGACAGCTGGAGGCTGTGGTGGAAGAATGGACTAATTCTTACTCTGATGACCTTTGTATCTCCTGAAGTTTTAATAGAACATGTATTAGCTAATCAAAATAAATTCAATTTCAAAGTCAAATCTGGGTGTACCTCACCTGTTCCCCTGTTCGCTTGTCAACATCCTAGCAGATGTGCATCGTCAACAAGAAGTGATGAGCTCCTTCGGGGGCGCCCTTCCGTCCTGCCCATGCTCCCATCCTCAACACCTGAAGTGTTCTGAAAGATGACGGAAACCCTCTCCCTGGAAAGAAGTCTGGCACATTTGAACAAGGTCCTACAAACTTCTTTCATTCCATCGTGGGGTTCTCTCTTGAAACCTGTCCTTAGCTTTTGAAGCATCAGTGCTCTACCTGTGGGTCATGACCCATGGTGGGGGGGGGGTCAAATGATGCTTTCAGAGGTCAACTAAGAACATCACATCAAAAAAAACCACAGATGTTTACATTATGATTCAGAACTGTAGCAAAACCAGTTATGAAGTAGCAACAAAATAATTTTGTGGTTTGGAGTCACCACAACATGAGGAACTGTATTAAAGGGTCGCAGCATCGGGAAGGTCGAGAACCACTGTGTTAAGGGAAAGACAAAAAGAAATAGAGAGGGTGAAATGGTGCTACAGACCTGACTCTGTTGCAGAGCTGTTAAGGAGAAGCACATGGAGAAACTCAACTGCGTGAGTGGAAGGGAGGAAGTTGCCTGAGACCCTACAGGTTCTACGACCCCACACAGTCATGACCAGCAGATCATACCAATATCGCACCAGTACATCTGGCTTGGCAAGTTGGTGTGGTATGCAGGGTTCTGGTTGGGTGTGAGTCCTGCTCCACAGGGAGGAATTTCACACCTTGTACTATAATCCTGGTCAAAAGCCCGTGGCTGGGAAAGATCACTGGCCCTGGAGTAGAGTCTACTGTTGTTATTTTAGCTAAACGGTCATGTGGTTGAATTGCCTTCCAAATATTTATGCTTCTACCTCTAGACCTGGGATGCTCTCAGCCTTGATCAGAGAAGCTTTTGAAGGGGATCACAGCCAATGGCAAGAGAAGACACATAACTGCTCCGAGCGCTGGAAGAAGAGAGTGGGCGCCCGGCTCTAAATGGGACAGCTATATTAATGCCACCACCACCACGGCTCAGGGAAGGTTGTGGAAAAAAAGGTGGAAAGAATGTAAAATTGGAAGGCTGAGGAGGCGTGCTGTGAGATGCTGGCTGTCACAATCATGAACTCACAGCAGCTGTGGCTGCTTTACACAATCCCCAGAAGATCAAGCTGGACACCAACCTTAGCCTTGATTGACTAGACAATCTCTAGGTTCCACCTCTTACCGAGGAGTTCTTGGCAGTGGTAGCCGCCGTGGGAGGGAGAATCATTCTTTTTAGAGGATATACCTACTGAGGTACTTCCCATGAGCCATTGGACTGCCCTTCCCCAAGCACACAAAGACAACACTCATAGTACTTTGTGGGTGTGGTGGTTTTAGTAAGAAATATCCACCATAGGCTCATGTACCTGAACAGCTCAGCAGCTGGTGGCACTGTTTAGGGGAGATTTCAGAGGTACAGCCTTGTTGGGGGAAAATGCTTGCAGGAGGGTGCCACCTTTGAAAGTACATAGCCCCCTCTTACTGACAGTTTCTGTACTTACAGGATTGAAGAAGTGATCTTCCAGCTTTCTCCTCTGCCCTCCTATGCCCCTGCCCCTCCTCCTATTATGTACTCTTCCTCTGGAACCATAAGCCCAGATAAATGCTTTCTTCTATAAGTTGCCTTGGTCATGGTGGTTCATCACAGCAATGGGAAAATAACTAATACAGTAAATAATAATAATATAAAAGAGATGAAGCTGGAAGGGGTCATATGGGGGGCAAAGAAAGAAGAGATGGGGGTGGATATGATCATATTCCACTGCATACTTCTTTGCAATTTTCAAAAATAAGGGAAGAAATGCAACGGTGGCACAAAGCTGGTGGGAAGAACTAACCAATACCTGATTCAAATTAAGGCCCACTCCGTGAAATGGAACCCATGCCCAGAACTGCTTGTGTGACTAAGAACTTGAGACTGAATAGGCCAGGGACCTGGGGGGAAACCAAATACTACTATTTTGCTAAAAGAATGTAGCAAAAAAAAAAAAAAAAAGACTCCCAACAACATTCTACTGTGCTCATACATTGGTACCTGGCTCAGCCATCATCAGACGCTTCCTCCTGCAGCAGATGGGAACAAATACAGAGACCCACAGCCAGACAGTGTGCAGAATGAGAGACCTTGGAACACTCAGCCCTAAAGCAGTTGTCTCCATCAGATCTCTCTCCTCAGGCTCGGGGAACTCACAGAAGAGGGGGTAGAAAGACAGTAAGAACCAGAAGGGATGGAGGACACCAAGGAATCAAAATCTTCTGGACAAAAGACTGGAGCACATAAGAACCAACAGAGACTGAGGCAGCATGCGCAGAGCCTGCACGGGTCTGTACCAGATGGGGTCCTAGAGCAAAGGAGATGTGGGAACATGTCCTCATTCGTAACCTAGAAGCTCTCCCCAGTTGATAGCCACTTGCAAATGGAAGCTTTCTCTAAGGGAGACTCATTGGGGAAATAAACTGCTCCTAGGAGTAGGTCCCATGCCCAGTAGACTGCTAACACTAAACTGTATCAGTGGCATCTTTGAGGTTCTGTATCTCATAATACTAAACAATGCCTTTTTTTTTTGGTATCTTACAGGTCTTTTGCATATCTATTATGGCTTCCGGTTTTGTGTTTTTATGGGATGCCTGTGTGTGTGAATGTGTGTGTTTCTGGATCTTTTCCTTTGGCTCTTTTTCTTGTTTTTCAATTTTGTCATATTCTGATTTTTTTAAATTTTATTATCATTCCTTAGATGCTTGTTTGCTTTCTAAGGAGAGACAGAAAGGGGGTGCATGTGGATGGGAGGGGAGGTGGGGAAGAACTAGAAGGAGTGGGAGGGGGAGGGGAAACCACCAGACTACACTGTGTGAAAAAAAAATCTATTTTCAATAAAAGGAAAAGATTCCTAAAGGATCTAAACAAAGGGTCATAAACTGGCTCATCACAAAGTCAGCTTTCTGCTGTAGTTTCTGCTCACAGTGGGTGTTCTGAGGGCAGAGGCTTCAAGCTCCAGCTTTAAGGATGAAGACAGGGGCATCCATATTCTCTAGCTAATTCAGTTGGTTTTACCTCACTCAGCACACGTACCCTAAGCACTTCCCCAGGGCAAGGCTGACCGACATTTTTATTAGCAATAATCTCTGCCTTCTTCTGATTATCTGGAGATTTAACACCACATAATCACCCTCCACGTCAGAGTGGGGGGGGGGAAGGAGAACTGGCTAAGAGGCCCCAAATCCCTCCTAACACCAGCTTCTTCCCTATCAGCAAGATTAGAGCACTCAAGTCTCTGCGCTAGTGTTCAGATCTGGCAGGCTAGCCTGGGCTTTTTCAGTTTTGAGGGTAATGCCTGGGGCCCCAGGTACGCCGATCTCTCGGCCTGTCCACCGGCTGTGAGCATTCCAAGGGCCCTAAACAGACAGGAGAGAGTGGCAAGAGCTCCGACTCCCACAGCCATGCTTAAACCGAACAACGAGAGGAGATTGTCCTTGAGGTACAATCCCTGGAGTATTCCAGAGACCGAGGAGGTGCCCAACACCAGGAGCAACCAACACCGCAGAAGCCTCTGCTCCATCGGAGCCCGTACTGGCTCTCAGGCCAGCATCTCAACACAGTGGACTGTGGGCAACTACAATTACTACATTGAGGAAGATGAGGACGGAGGGGAGGAGGGAGAGTATTGGAAGGATGACCTTGACGAGGAAAACCAGTCTCCGGAGTGTCCCACGGCCCTGCTGGATGGCCATACTGACACTCCGGTCCAGTTGTCCACGCTGAAAGTGAACGTGGGCGGCCACAGCTACCAGCTGGAATGCTGCGAGCTAGCCAACTACCCCAAAACGCGTCTGGGCCGCCTGGCCACCTCCACCAGCCGCAGCCGGCAGCTGGGCCTGTGCGACGATTACGAGGCACAGACGGACGAGTACTTCTTTGACCGCGACCCTGCAGTCTTCCAGCTCATCTATAACTTCTACTTATCAGGGGTGCTGCTGGTGCGAGATGAGCTGTGTCCCCGCAACTTCCTGGAGGAGCTGGGCTACTGGGGCGTGAGGCTCAAGTACACACCGCGCTGTTGTCGCATCTGCTTCGAGGAGCGGAGGGACGAACTGAGCGAGCAGCTTAAGATCCAGCGGGAGCTGCGCGCACAGGCGCAGGCCGAGGAGGCGGAGGAGCTCTTCAGGGACATGCGCTTCTATGGGCCGCAGCGTCAGCGCCTCTGGAACCTCATGGAGAAGCCCTTTTCCTCGGTGGCGGCCAAGGTCATGGGGGTGGCCTCCAACCTGTTCGTGCTCATCTCCGTGGTGGCCCTGGCACTCAATACAGTGGAGGAGATGCAGCACGAAGCTGAGCAGGGCACAGGTGGCGGGGACCCGAGGCCCATTCTGGAGCACGTGGAGATGCTGTGTGTGGCCTTCTTCACGCTGGAGTTTCTACTGCGCCTCGCCTCGACCCCCAACCTGCGACGCTTCGCACGCAGCGCCCTCAACCTGGTGGACCTGGTGGCCATTATGCCCTTCTACCTGCAGCTGCTGCTCGAGTGCTTCACGAGCGAGGACCAGAGGGATGGCAAGGGTTCCCCGCGGGAACATGACCTGGAGACTGTGGGGCGCGTGGGGAAGGTGGGCCAGGTGCTGCGGCTCATGCGGCTCATGCGCATCTTCCGCATCCTCAAGCTGGCCCGCCACTCCACCGGGCTGCGCGCCTTTGGCTTCACGCTGCGCCAGTGCTACCAGCAGGTGGGCTGCCTGATGCTCTTCATCACAATGGGCATCTTCTCCTTCTCGGCAGCTGTCTACTCTGTAGAGCACGATGTGCCTGGCACCAACTTCACCAGCATCCTCCAGGCCTGGTGGTGGGCCGCGGTGAGTAGCATGGTGCTTGGGCTTCTTCATCCTTTCGCCCCAGAACGACACACTCTGCCCCTCCCTTTCTTTAGTCATCAGCCTTGGCGGGCATGTCTCTTGATCTTTCTTGGTCTCGCTGAAGGATAGGGCACCTCTGTACCGCATGGTTGCGTCCAACAAAACCCGAATAGATGTTTAGATGTTATAAAGTTGGAACGACGTCAAGATTGTTGCTTAATAACTGAATTTCACACGGTCCTGCGAATGGTCAAATCCAGATTTGATCTTAAAATCTTGGCCAGGAGCTGGTTAGGTGTTGCATGAATCCTGTAATCCCTGCACTTGGAAGGTACAGCAAGGAAGATCAGGAGTTCAAGGCTAGCTTGGCCAGATAATTCACATGTGAGTTAAAGGCCAGCTCGGGTTACTTGAGAGGCCCCCCCATCTCCAAAAAAATAAATAAATAAATAAAAACAAAGGAGAATGAAAAACAACAACAAATACAAAACCTTGGGAAAAAATCTTTGGTAGACAAAACTTAAGAAAACTTAAAAATGATTGGTGTTTCGTGGCTGCAATACGATTCATCACTGCCCAGCCACCACTTGTGGGAGGCTTAGTGTCCTAAATGATTTACAAAGCTGATTTTACTTAAACATCACAAAGAAATAGTTGTTCTCGCCATTTTTTAAGAGGACAAGTAAGAAGCAGCTTCAGTTCTTGGAGGACACTATAGATAGTTACGGGGTCGGGGAGGTGGGGTACGAGTTGGCTGAGCAATGTGGCTCCTGAGAACTTACTGCCTCTTGTTCTAGCTAAGTCTGAGTGTGGACAGATGCACCTAAAATTGGAAGGCCTTCTAACTACAGCACGGTTTTTTCAGGATAGAGTGTGATTGTCCCCTTCTGTAACCAGAGGCACTGGGGGCCAGAGAGTGTGGGTGTAGGCACAGCAGCTGGAGGTGGCAGATGCAGGGATAAAACAGAAGTCTGTGCTACTCAAACTTCCGTGCCTTTCCCTTGCTCTGCCACTGCGCCTTGCTAGCTTTTGGTCATTGTCACACCTTGCCTCGTGACAGTTAATATACTTGTTATTCTTATCCTTATCTTGACTACTGACTCTTGATAGTAATTCATGCCATTTATTTAAAATGTCTCTTTGTAGTACACTAAATAAACCCCTGAAAGATGCTAACCAACTCACCTCAGACCAGTGAGTCAGCATGCTGGAATGGGAAAGAACTGAATAGCTTCTTTATTTCTCTTCTTTTTTTAAGTAGATGGCAATGCTTTTAGAGACATTAAGCAAGTATTAAAAGAGCGGATATTACAACATTAACATTGACGGTGTACAAAATTCTGAGATAAAACCAACCCCAGAGCACTGTAGCGGGAAGGGAAACTCAGAAGGGGCTAACCTCCACTACTCCAACAATTCAGCCGTGATCCTGGGTAATTGAGATTCCGTCCCCTCGCTCGCTTCCCTCAGTCCCACATCTCTAGGAGAGGAAGTTGGACTTGAAGTTCCCCGCAGCTCCCTGAGTCTTCCTTCCCTTCCAAGCTACAAGTAAGCTGACGTTCCTCAGGGACAGGTGCTGTTAGGCTCTGCTGAACAAGCTTGTCAAAGGCTGCTGCTCTGATCCTATTCTGACGAAAGGTCATCTCCATAGTAGATAAACCGTGTGCACAGATGGAGTTCTTGCCGGATGGTTTGTCCCCCGCAAGTGACATTTACTTTGGAGGTGGCTAACGTGGGAGTACAAACAGCAAACCCACATGTTGACAATATAATACAATGGTTTTTTTTTTTAAATGTATTTCTTTTATTTTGGTTTGTCTGTATGAGGGTGTTGGATTCCTCGGAACTAGAGTTACAGAGAGTTGTAAGCTGCCACTCTGTGCCATATGTGGGTGGTTGGAATTGAATCCGGGTCTTTTAGAAGAGCAGTCAGTGCTCTTAACCACTGAACCATCTCTCCAGTCCCCTAATACAAATGTTTGAAGCCAAGTCTTCATTCATCCAAAGATCTTAAAAGGCGATGGTCTGCAGGCAAGAAACCTATGGGGCTTTCAACTCATTTTAACCCACAATATTTGTGTTACACTAACTAATATACTTTTATTAAACCTATTAATACTGGATTTTTACCTTTAAAACATTTCTGATATTAATGTTTATTGATAACTTAATTTCCTGTGATTAATGCAAAGTGAAGACTTTGGTTTTTTGTTAATGAATTAATTTTATCCAGAATCAGTGCTTTTTAAAAATAAGTTTTACAACAAAAGTTAAACCACCATTCACGTTTTTAGTCTGTGAAAAATTTATCTGTTGTTTTGAGCAATGTGAAGGGTTTAGAGTGTAAAGCCCTTATCTTTATCAAACATGGTTTTTACAAACCAAATCTCACATACTTTGACCTCCCCATTCACCAAAATTACTGCATACCTATGACCTTTATCCAGTTTGTTCTAAGATTTATACAGGACAAATCATTATGAAGTACACAAGTGACTGCTAACTTGTATTTTCTCCCTGGGCAAACCTAAGAACCCAGTGGGAACAATTTCCTCGATTATTCTAGGACTGTGGCGTTCCTCAGAAGTGATGCTATAAACCCAGCCCTTTTGGTACTTTGATTATCTTGCATGTTATGTACTTGGGCATTTTATTATCAGAGCAAGGAGGAACATTTTATTATCAGAGCAAGGAGGAAAGGACACCATGAAATGATAGATACAAAGTGTCTTGGTTCTTATATGTAGTTATAAAGAGGGAGGATGTAAAATAACCAGCAAAAGTCCACCTTCTTCCCTGAGGAATTTGCACTGTGTTAGGTCACACTCTACACACTAAGAAAGTGGGTATACTTTCTCCTAAAAACTTGAATAAAACTCCCAAATACATATACATTTCTTTGTTTATAAATGATGTATAAGTTACAAGCTACCTATTGCCATAGCAATGGCATATCACAATCCAGGCCAACACTCAGTGACTGAAAGTATCAAACATTCATTTGTTGCATGAATACAAAAGCGAGCAACTTCATCTGGGTGTGGTAGTACGAGCTTTTAATCCTAGCCCTTAGGAAGCAAAGCCAGGCAGATCTCTGTGAGACTGAAGCCACAACAAGTTTAAGTCTGCCAGGACTGCAGAGTGAGGGCTTGTCCAAACAAACAAACAAACAAACAACAAAGAAAGGCCTGTAAGCACCTAGTCTGGTCTGTTGAAACTGGACATTCTTTTCATCTGGTGACACTGTCCTCAGGTCTGTTGGTCTAGCTGGATTAAAGACAGTATGAAGATATAATGAGGAAAGTGGCTATGTGTCTCTTAGGTTCTACAGACCTGTCTCTATGGCTGTCTCTGTGGCAAACAAAGGTCAGGAGAGAGAGAGTCCAAACCTAACTATGCAAGCATTGTATCATACCACTTCTGTTCATATTTGCTCAGCTTTTTGGGTTGTATGTAGCTATCAGCTCAACCCAAAGTAAGTCACAAGACCATACTCAAGCAAGTTGGGTCAGGGCAGGTCAGCCCAGGAAAGGAAAGCTTTGTGAGACTTATAAAAAAAAAAAAATACCTTGATGGCAGGAAGGTACAGTAAGTTATACCTAATAATACAATCATTCTACTGTAATAATATATTACTGCTTGAATATATTATACCCATACACTCACACACTGAAATGTCAAGATGAAGTAAGAAGAAACATGATAGATTTTTTTTCTTTGCCTTTTCCCCCCATTTAGCACAGGTCTCATAGTATAACTCTGGCTAACTTGGAACTCACTTGGACCACAGTGACCTTGAACTCACAGAGATCACTGCCTCTGCCTCCCAAATGCTAGGATTAAAAGTGTGTGCTCTCACACCTGACTATGATCGATAGACTCTTGTGCTACTCCAGAGCCGTATCCTTTGTACCTCACCTTAGACAGAGTCTCCAACTCATTCTCTCTCCCATGTATTGTTTGTTCCTTACCAGAACTTAGAGAACAACTCCTAAGTTGCTCTGCTTCTAATATCTTCTCTCTCTCTCTCTCTCTCTCTCTCTCTCTCTCTCTCTCTCTCTCTCTCAAATGCCAAGGACCTTTCAACCCTCTGTAGTTCAAGTCAGGGTTTAAAAGGAATCAGTCACTTCTGTGGTTGTAAAGAATTCTCGCTATTGTACAGCCCTTATATCTGCAAGAACAAATCCCTCGTGTAGCCTTATATCTGCAATTGCTCAGGTATGCAAGCTAGACCCTTCTCAACTGCCAGATGCTGGTTATTTGTGAGCACTGATGTAATAAGAAACACATGTAACATACTTGCCTGTAGGAAGTCTGCAATAAGTAGATGCTAACACATCTATCTAGCCAATAGTCTTTATCACATGGAAGCAATAACCTTTGGTTCTAGATCCATTTTCGGAGAAATTAAAACAGGAGTGATCCCTTCTCTACCAGGGGAAAGAAAAATTGTGAGGCATACAGAGGGGCAAGCTTCTGAGTGTGTAGATCAGCAGGCCATGTCTGGAGCAGCGCCAGCCATGGGAGATGGGGGGGGGGGTTTCAGGATTACCCAAGTGGTAAATACATCCTATGGGCCAAAAGCAGTAACTCTATGATGAAGCTATCACCATCAGCGTTCTGAGTGGGTTTGTTTTCAAGTAAGAAAGACCAACTGGACTGTCAACGGACCATTTCCTTTGGACTCTTCCAGAAAAACTAAAGTTGCAGGAGTCAAAAAGGAAACTTCAACATAATCTCATCACTTCTAAGACTCTCCCAAAGGAAACTGGCCTTCGAGGGGCACCAGGCAGCTGTGCCCCCAGAGCTGGCTCCCTCTAAGCTTTCCAAAATGATAGTATCGTTTTCTTGAAAATAGTTGGGCTTTATAAGATCACTGAAATTTATTTTAATTGATCACTTGGAAATGACGCATTTGTGAAATGAGTTAGGTTACAGTCAGGAAAATGGAAATCAAGGTGAGGGTCTGCTCTGAGGGAGAAGATGGATAGTAACTAGGAGAGTAAAAGAGAAAAAAATAGCAAACAGAGAGAATAATTATTGGTCTTAGCACAGGAAGAACAGATGGGAGATGGTAGTGTTGACCGACTTGGGCCTACAGAGGTGGCCCATGTGCAGCCAGAGCACAGATTTATAAGGTGGCGCCATGAGGCTGATGCTCGGAGGCCTGGGAGCATCAGCTATCTGAGCCATATGATGATGGTGGAGATCAGGTCAGTGACAGAGACCCTCCTCTCTCCTTCCTACTTCCCAGTCTCCCAAACATGCCTCTGCTCTGAAAAACAGCCAGTAAGGGAAACTGGAAAATGTAGGCTGGAGAATCCCAGTTGCAGAATTAAAGAAAAGGGTACTGGGCTTGGGACCGAACTGGACTGCCTGTAACTGGCACAGAAAGTGCTGAGGTTCTAGCTTGTCCAGAACCAGTTACAATGAGGCATCAACTCAAAGACACAAAGTTTTTAAATTTGATTTTATATTTTATCTTAGGGGCTCCTGTTTTGGGAGTGGGCCCCTTTGATGTCATTAAGTATGTTCCTCCTCTTGTTCAAGATGACTTCAGTGGGACATGACTGACTATCAAAGGAATGGAGAGGCGTTAAACAAGCTGAAGATGCTAGGCTATGTTTATTGTCTGCCTTTGTGTGCATAGATTGCTAACACACACACACACACACACACACACACACACAACTTGTATCTGTGATTTTGCCTTAGCTTGGGCCAATCTCTTCTTTTCTGTACCACTTACACTCATGTTAAAACAGTAACATACCAAAACACCCAAATGAGAGTTCTTGTTCACAGTGTTAATCTCATTCTTACTTCAAAATACTTTGAGGGATTGCCCCCCAGAATGATTGCATTCAGTATCTGAGGTAGTCAATTGACACCAAGATTAATTATCAGGATATAGGTACAGGGACTTGTACCCATCTGAATTGTTTCTTCTTTTTTTTTTTCTCCTTTTTTTTTCTGAATTGTTTCTTTAGATTATATTCCTAAGAGAGAAATATTTGTTGCAACAGTAGCAAGGATAAGTAGCCTTTGAAGGACAATATATACTGTTGAGTATAGCTTTAAGACGAAAAACCTGCCTTTACTGGTTCTACTTCTTTGGGAAAACCTGAAGGGGCACTAATTATTTTCGAAATTAGCTGTATTTCCTGGAATCGTACTTCCTCGATGCATGAACTAATGGCTGCCAAGTCATTTCATCCATACCCCATTCTTCCTGAGGGAAACAAACCTTGCTTCTTGAAGGAGGAATCCAAGGGCGATATTCCTGACGCTTGTCTGAACAGTGGTTAGCAGGTTAGGATTAGCTGGTCAGTAAGGGTGCAGCAGTCACGCACGATCACGCTCTCAGTCTTGAAACCCCAAACTAGGAGAAATCTGTGAGCTTTCAGTAGCATGGTCAGCTTCCAGTTTAAGACTGGTTAAGTAGCCAGTTTTGCCAGGGTTTTAGAGGAAGCGCGGATACTTTGGTCACATTTCCAAACTCCTGCTAATGGACAAACTTACTCTGGAAGGTCATTTGCTCAGACTGGGGCCTTCCATGTAAATACCATCTATGGAGATGTGATTGATCCTATGTAATCTACAGAAACTTCCCTTATCCAAAAAATCCCAAGTCCTACCCCAGAAGCAAGGGACAAGAAGAAGGTGGCAAACTGGGCATAATGACGAACACTTTTCCAGAATTTGGAAGATGGAAGCAGGCAAATCTCTGTGAGTTCTAAGTCAGCCTGCTGCACATAGTGAGTTCCAGAACAGCCAGAGTTACATAGTGAGACCCTGTCTCAAAAATAAATAAATAAAAAGAACAAACTTAGATACTGAATAAGATTATCCACAAAACAGGCAGCAAAACAACTCTACGTTTTGAACATATTCTTGGGGACCAGAATTCTTCTCCAGCAGGAGAAGTCTCTGCTCTGAAACTGGGACTCAAGACACTCAAGATTCCTCAGACCTCATTATGCATATCAGGTTTTCTTGTTTAAGGAAAAGCAATTTGCTTTTGACTCTTCACTCGAATTTCAGCCAAAAAACAAAAATGATGTAATTATAAACGAAAAAAGAAGAAATAAAATAAAAAGGCCTTAATAATTTATGGGAAACAAAACTTAAAAAAAAGTAAGGTTGGGGTGAAGCTGAGCAAGTATGGGAATGAATCAAAAGCTTAATAGCAGCACACTGTCTTAACCACTTCCTTTCCTCTGGGTCTCCCCAGCCCTTTCCCCGACTGTTGGACCCTCGTGTGTCCGCCTAACTGCAGGGCCCTCTCCTCTGGAGCTGTGTTCTAAAACTATCCCTTCCTGCCATCACTTGTCTCCACAACCAAACTCTCTTAAGTGGCCACCTTAACAAAAATAATTCATCCTGGGGTATAAGTGATGGTGTTAGTGGTAAATGGGGGGTGTGGCAAGGCTCGCACACTGGAGCGAGGCCTGACTGTGGCATGGCCGAGAACAAGACATAAGTGCAGACACATGGGCAGATGGGGCAGATGTGGGGACTGACGTGTGGCTTGCCTCTGCTGCTTTTTATATTTTCAGCCAGAGTGTAGGGAGAGAACATTCCCTACTAAAGACGCAGGGATGTTGCCCTGAAATCTCCCTCACCCAGCATTTAGCCAAAGTTCGGATGAGACTGTTTCTACAGCTTGTGGGTTTATCGGACACAAAAGGGGTCAAGTTCCTGGTGGGGAGTAGGCTCCATACGTGTTTGTGTTTGCTTCCGTTCAGCTGAAGCTCGCTTTAAGACAGTCTCTCAGGTCATCTCTGGCATGTTCATCCGCAGCCAGTGGGTAGGACCTTCGATTCCTATTACAGTCATGCAAAGTAGGTGCTATTATCTCCATATGCCAAAAGTAGAAAATGAGGGCAGAGAGAAGTTAGCTGCTTTGCCCAAAACTCACACAACGGTGAAGTGGATTCAGACCCAGGAAGTCAAGTATGCTCTTATTTTTTTTTTAACTCTGTCTATGTCATCCTGCCTCGGTCATGCGTGCTCGTGTGCTTCTACCACAGGAAAGGCAGTTCTCTAGACGGGGAGCAGGAAGCAGTGAGCCTTGGGGCCTGCCCCTCCTTGGAAACACACCTGTCCCTTTCTGAGGGCTGATGGGTCTACGGCTCTTATCAGCGCCACCAGCTCTGCCCAGCTGGCTTGCTTCTCCATTTCATTCCAATCAATCAACCACATCTGAAAGTTCAAACTAACCCTTGCATCACGGGCACAAGAGTGCTCACATTTCTGAGCCAGAGGCCCTCTCAGTGTGGCGAGGGAGTGACTTTGTATAATGACTGCCATCTGTTGGAAGATGAGGACAGCCATCACACAGATCCGTGGAGCAACAAGCAGCCCTGGAATTGGCAATAGGAAGTTCCCACTACTATAAGCCACAGCCCTGCTCCAGAGGCTCCTGGTGACTTAGTCTGGGGACCAACTGAAGCACGTGAGGCATAAAAATGGTCTACAGGGGGGGTTCCCCCGGGTTTTCTCTGCTCTACACTAAGTGATAACTAGTCCCATGGGAATCTGCACTTGAAACAGGAAGCCTGTTAACCTAAATACATCTCTAATTAGTGGGACTTCAAACAGTGTGACAAGGATGATGAAGGGACTTTCAGAAAGGGTGACATATTTCTGTTCTGTGAGGTCTTCTGAAGGTCCCTTCGCAAAGTAATGAGTGTTTCTCTAGATGAGGGCAATTAAATTGTCTCCATTAAAAATGAAAACAAAAACAAAAACCAATTGAACTGCACAGCAGCTCTGAGCAACGTCGTAATAGTCTCCTTTGAAAGAGGAGGGCAGTACAGTGGAGGCGTTCATTGCCCTGGGTGCCTGTTTGATACGTAGTTTTATATGTGTGTATGTGTATGTTTTATATGCAGTTTACCACTCCGTCTTTTCTAGACGGCTGAGAGATGGTCCCGGCGTCTGAGGGTAAGTCCCAAGATCAACCAGCTGGGAAGGGTCAGTCCGAACTTGAACACTGTTCTGATTGCTTCTAAGCTCACGGTTTTTCTCAGACATTCATGATGAAGGTGGATCCAGGGAATCTCCCTGTCCCAACACAGTTGCGGAAGAGGTGTGGAAACAAAGACAATAACTGAACACCTCCTATGGCAGGAATTCAACATGTGTTACATAAAGCTTGTCCCTACAGCTCTTTAAGGCGGATCATATTTCCCCGTGCCGCTTATAAAAACAGCGGTGTGCCGTGGTCAGGATTTAAACCTGCCTTTCGGCCCCACAGCTTGCGTTCTTTCCATGGCACAATCTCGCTGGCAACTCTGAAAGCCGCTCCCTGGGAACTCTGAACAGTCCCCTTGGGCACGCACGGGGGACAGGGCTCTTTACTGCAGGGCTAACCATTCCATCCTGCCTTCTCTTTCCACAGGTAAGCATTTCCACGGTGGGCTATGGAGACATGTACCCAGAGACCCACCTGGGCAGACTTTTTGCCTTCCTCTGCATCGCGTTCGGGATTATTCTCAACGGGATGCCCATTTCCATCCTCTACAACAAGTTCTCCGATTACTACAGCAAGCTCAAAGCCTACGAGTACACGGCCATCCGCAGGGAGCGGGGAAAGGTGAACTTTGTGCAGAGAGCCACGAAGAAGATGGCGGAATGTTTATCGGGAAGCAACACACAGCCCACCACAAGGCAAGAGAACTAAGGCTTCATTAGGACGCAAGGCTGCTAGAACCCGAGAACTTCCAAGCGTCGTTGCTTCTTTTAAAAATTATGGTACACATGAAGCCTGCACACACAAAGAGCGTTCAGTTCAAAGTTCTGTCTCTAGGAATGCTCATTTGGACCCAAACTCAAAATGCCTCACATTGCTCTTAACTGGATTGTGTTTATGTATGACATCGGTGCTGGAAATGGCTCCAATGTCTTAGATGTCTCTTTCAGCTTCTCATGGCATCTAGCTCAGTATGTATTTTTAGACTTGAACTGACTGGAGATGAATTTTCCGAGTTCAAAGAAGGCGGAGGGGCTCTTAATTATCCGCAGAATGAAGTGTTACAGAGGGAACTGTATGAGCTTTGGAGTCAGACCAACCTCTAAGTCAGAATCCCAGTTCTACCAGTTCGGAGATTTGTGGGAACTCACTCTGATCCTCTGAGCCTCAGTCTCTCCAACTGTGAGATGTACAAAGTCATGCCTACTTAATTTTGGTATTGGGGTTGGAGAGAACATTTGTTAAGTGCTCAATATTTGATACTTGTTCAAAGTGGCTAAGCTGGGACTGCCTAGCTATGTTTTCTACCAATGGTGCACAACCAAAGGCAGGTTTTGCTCCCCAGGTCACATTCGGAGATGTTCTTGACTGTCACTATATGAAAGACCAGGCAGGCTCCCAGCATCTAGTAGATTCGAGGTATGGAATGCTGCAATAGTCCCTACAGTGCACAAGGTAGCCTCTGCGCTACAAACCACCAGATGTCAGTGATGCCAATGGTGAGGGGCCTCTGTATACAGTTACTATGGGAACCCAAACTTGGTCCATGAAATGTGCCTGTATTTGTGAATTTCTTCCCCCCTTGAATGGAGCCCTGTGATGGGTTGTTTTACTCTTTACTCTTTTGAGGGGGCCTGCCATTCAGCTCCACAATAAATAAATGGAGACTTATTCTTAGTTTTGAATACCCACTTTAGCTTGGCTTGTTTCTAGCCAACATTTCTTATCTTAAATTATCCCATCTATCTTTTGCCTCTGCACTCTTATCTTTCTCTATTTCTCTATACTTTTTTGTCTTTTTATGAAACAGGGCTTTGCTATAGCTTTGGAGCCTCTACTGTAACTAGCTCTTGTAGACCAGGCTGGCCTCAAACTCACAGAGATCCGCTTGCCTCTGCCTCCTGAGTGCTGGGATTAAAGGTGTGAGCCACCACTGCCCAGTCTGCATACTTTTCTATCTTGTTCCTTCCCCCTTTCCTCTCAGATTTCTCCTATTAATTCTCTCTGCCTTCCTTGCCTATCCTTTGACTATTGAACGCTTTGTTAGACCATCAGGTGTTTTAGACAAAGAATCACAACTTCCCAGAGTTAAACAAAGGCAACATAAAAGAATGCAACACATATTTACATCATTAAAACAAATGTTCTACAGCACAAACAAATGTAACATCTTAACATTAAAAGCCTCCACTGTCCTCACCTATAACTCGGACTTCTATTCTTTCTGTTTTTCAGAAAAGGGGTAGGGGAGCCAACCTGGCTCTTCAATGAATGCTGTCTGGCGAGCACTACAGGAAGGGCCTCTCTAGACTGAGGGTTGACAGCCAATGTCCTTGGGTGTCTTTCCTTAAGACTGTTCTTTCTCATTTCTTTCTGGGTCCACAGGGTTACTGTAACTTGAAGTCTTGAAGTTGAAGGCTCATTTGAACAGAGCACACAGAGATTTGCCCCTGTCCTCTCAGGGTATGATTGAACTTTCTATATCATAAAAGGAGTAATTGCGCTATTGATGGTGGCAAATGCTAGGCAGTTTAACATACAGTATGTACCTTCATTGAACCCTCCACACATCCCTAAACTTGATGCTGTGGTTTTCTATTTAAGGAGAAATGGAGGCTTAGAGAGGGTAAATGACCCAGGTACATTCCCCTACTCACTAAAATAGTGGGACCGGACTCTAGGCCTACGTTCATTTGGTGCACAAAGCTCTGTATGTGGCTTTATCAGACATTATGGCGTCATGTCTGAATGGTGGACAAAAGTGCACTGTTCTAAGATTTCTACATCTAGGAGGTCAAGACATCTGCTCTGGATAGTTCTTCCTGTCAACTTGACACACCCTAGAGTCACTTGTGAGATTGCTGGAATCAGAGTGGTCTGGAACCACAGCTGTGTCTATGATAGGTTATCTCCACTGACGATTGCAGGGACTCTTGGCTCAGTAAGTGCATGCTGGCGCTTTCAGGTGACTATTGTTGAGGGTCTAACCCACTGTGGGTACCTCCCTAGCAGGTGGGTCTAGGTCACAGAAGCAAGCAAGAAGGACGTGAGTCAGGCAACAAGCCAGAGAGCGAGCTAGCAAGCATCATTTCCCCTCATGCTTTCTGTTCCAAGCTCCTGCCCTGATTTCTCTCAATGATGAATTGCAACATGGAAATGGAAGCTGAAATCTACCCTTTCCTCCCCACATTGCTTTGGGTCCTGGTGTTTCACTGCCGTGGCAAATTAGAAGAGTGCTTTGCGGTGCCGGAACAGAATGCTGTGGTCCGAGCAACATATAAAAAATATATGTTTATGTCCCTCCGCTCTGCAGGTTAGGGGTCCAAGATCAAGACACAGGCAGGACGGGTTGTGGGTCAAGATGGTGCCTCCTTGGTGCATCTTAGGACTACAGCCTAACAAGGCAAAAGGCGAGCTCACTGAACACTGCTGACAAGTATCCTGTATGGGTCTTGATCCCATCACTCATGAAGGAGCAGCCTCATGGCTTCCTCAGTCTTAAACACCTCAGCTGTTATTATTACCACACTGATAACACACCTGGCTTACAGAGGGAGCTGTTCAAACCAGAGCATGGGTTTGAATTTTAGCCAAGCATCAATTTTTAATAACAATATATTCCAAATGTTGCATGGTGTATACTCCTAAGACTCAGATTTAACTGCAAGCCTGACCTTTTCCTCTGTGAAATCTGGCAGTCCTATGCTGTTGTTTTTCAGAGGCAGAGTTCTCATGCAGTCACCCCCAAGCCCTAAGACCACAGCCAAAGAGCACACCCTTCCACCAGGGAATCGGTTCTTCCCTCTGCCAACTAAAAAGATGAAGGCTTTGAATCAATCTCCTTGCCAGAAGTAATCTTGTGAACTGAGCCAGCTCATGTATCCACCTAACACAAAGGACAAGGCAGCCGTGCTTCCACTGACTCCCCAGCCCTCCTGCCCTTCAACTCTAGGGACACGTTTGCTGATGAAGTGAAACTCCGGGGACTATCAAGGGTCTTAGGAAACAGGGAAGACATAATACTCATAACACCTCCCTCTGCTCTGGACACGAGAGACTGTCCCAAAATTGCAAGGCAGAAGAAATCCCCTGAGAGACAGGAGTAGGGGTGCACGGGGTGGTGGCGCTGATGACAAAGCTGGAATTTTCCAGGTCCTTGAGATCTAGTCAATAGCAGCAGACCTCCTCCCGGTCTCAGTGGTCACATCTGTTCAGACAGCTGTGCACTGCTGTCCTCAGGGAGTAAGAATGACAGGCAGAATGAAATTAGCACACACACAAAAAGAACATTTTGTGAGCCTCACAGAACATTATTTTATTTAATACTTCGGTTGCTTCTAGAGGCCTCATTGGTCACTCACAAAAGCTTAGTCATAACGAGCTTGCTCTTGGTGTTAAAGCTGATCCTGCAATATATTACACAAAGCCAAACCATATGAAGTTGACAGTTTCATCAAACATGACTGAATATTGGCAATTTCATCCGGCATGACCTAATCGTTATGTGGTTGCAATTTTTCTCAACTTGTTCCCACATTGTTAACATGGAAATAATGGTGCTGTTTTCCTTGGGATTTTGATGGCAATTAAATGCCATTGTGTATATTTCAAACTGTAGCACCCTGGCACATGTTATATATTAAATAAAGGTAGGTCCTCCTCTTTCTCTTCCTCAACATCATTTCTATTATGTTGTTGTACCAAAAAAAAAAAAAAAAAAAAAAAACAAAAAACTGCCCAATCTCAGCCACTGTCTTCGGTCAGCAAAGAAAGTAGCTGTGCTCTGTAGGGCTTGGTGATCGTCCTAATTCAGACAACAGAGAATGAAAAAAGGACAGACACACAGACACTTGTACAGAAACTCGGGATCTGGTGGGCCAAGCACTCTGACAGATGCACAGGAACCCAGAAACTCAGCCTATTTCTCTTATACATCTGAACTAGGGTGGCAGATTCACTGTGTACCGCTGGCCCTGGAGACGACAGCTCTACTGTGTACAGTTGAACAAGGAGGTGGCGCGCTTAGCTGGTCTCAGCAGAAGGGGTAGAGGAGAGCAGTCTCAGGCTGCACACATCCAGGAGGAAGCTGCGGTTGAAACTTTCTGTGCATGCTGTCAGCATTCGTGCAAAGACCAGGGACATGTTTTACCACTCTGGTGGGTCTGAGGCACTGGGCTCCTTGGTGGGAACCCACTCACAGCAAACAACACACAATCACTTAGGTCCTCTACTCCCCAGAGAGAGGGCTCTAAAGTAGTTGTTCTTCCCCTCCCTAGTACTGCAACCCTTTAATACAGCTACACATACTGTGATGACCCCCAACCATAAAACTATTTTCATTGCTACCTCATAACTATAATTTTGCTGCTGTTGTGAATCATAAAGTAAATATCTGATATGTAGGCGATCTGATGTGCAGACCCCCGAGGGGCTCATGACCCACAAGTTGAGAATAGCTGCTCTAGAGGAAGGCAGTTTTTGAATCTTCACCATCCTGGATTGTGCACAAGGTCCCAGGCCAATGGATTACAAAGAACTTTCTGTAGAGATGAAGATAGAGCCACGCTCTACATACAGTAACCACCAGCCAGCTCACAGCTGCTGCCCCATTCTACCTCGACAGAAAAAGTAATATGTCAGCAAGAAACCTTTCTTTAAATTGAAGGAGACGTTAGTTCATCACTGACACAAACACAAACAAATTACAACAA